CCAATGGTGGGGAAAGAGTTAACTAGACAAACTATGCTGGTCAACTAGAAGTCATCTTCACTTGTAAGACCATGTTGGTTGACTATCTTAACTATCAGCCCAAAAAAAGAACATGCATGTCAACTAGCTTTACAACACTGCAAGACAGACTGCAGCAGTCAACCATCTTAACCAGCTTGACAAGAATGACCATGCTGTCCATCTATCCTAACCAGCTTTACAAGAAAGAATATGCTAGTCATCCAACTTAACTAGCTTAACAAGATAACGTTGGTAGATTTACTTACCCATTTTCTCTAGACAAACCATGCTGGTCGACTAGCTAGCCATCTTCACATCTTCAGACCATGCTGGTTGACTAACTTAACCATTTTCACAAAAAAAAGACCATCCTGGTCATCTAGCTTTACAATATTACAAGAGAGACTGTACTAGTAATAATGTTCAGAAGAAAGATGCCATTGATTTAACTTAACTAAGTGTTACAAAAACAGGCTTCACCATCTTCCCAAGAAAAACCATGCTGCTAAACCAACTTAACTAGCTTCACGAGAACAACCATGCTGGTAGCTTAACCATAATCAGAGGAAAGAACATGCTGGTTGATTAGCTTAAACAACTTTAAAAGAAAGACCATGCTAGTCGACCAACTTAATTAGCTTAACAAGATAGACAATGTAAATTTGATTGAATTTTACACTTCAACTAGCAGCCAGTCTTCATCTGCCTCTCAAATAACCAAATTGGTTTTAAACAAGGCTTTTGCTAATTAAAGCTGACTTTGGTACACAAGTTTAAGCTGGAGGGTGTGATTACTTTTTAAAAACTGTTCATTTGGTGCCAGGCGTAGAAGGACAAGAGCAACTAAAATATAACCTCTTAAGTACTTTTAACGGTTAATAGCTTGTGAAGTGTGTGGCTCTTCCCCACTTGCAAAGTGCTGCTTGCTTGGCTAAGTTGATTGCTTAATTCGCACTAACAACCATTGGATTCCCATTCCATCCGCCTACAGGCTTTGAGCATCACAAACGTCATATTCATATTCAGGTTGGTCGGAAACAGTTGGTCCCCCTTTATGACATTTACATTGGATTTCCTGGATTACAGCGCATGGAATCCTTGTGGGGAAAGAGCAGGTGTAAGCATCATTTTGAAAAGTGAAGATTAACAAAAGTCTCGAAGCTATAGCATGATTCCCTAGACTCGGTGATCAGCATAAAGGGTAAATCAACATTTTACTCCATTATCCTATCACAGATGTAGCTCTGCTTTGCGTCCTGGGATATTTCCAATGCAAAGCATGACGTAAAGCCCAGTTGGCCTCTTTAAAAACAGTTGCTGGGCTTATCCTTAAAATTAAATATGTATTCCACTGGAGATCACAGGTCTATTTGCCTCTGACCTTCAGTGGCCGCTGCTCTGTGCCATTTTGGCCTTTAATTAGACCCCAATAGGCAACTGAGCCCTGATAAATCCATTCCGCTCCCAAGTTTGTCATTACCAGGCTCCTGGGAGCCGGGCCCTGGCAGTGTAAACACTGGGAGAAGAGCTTTAAAAGTGGAAGTGGTCAAAGAAGAAGAGAGGGTGAATTGAAGCCGGGGTGGGGGTTGGGAGGTTAGAAGAGGTTCTGTGCTTGCGGGACTTGTGATTATGAGAAGAGAGACAGAGAGTGGCACTTAACGGCACATCAGCTGCAGTTTAACAGTCACGGCGGGGAGCCGAGGGCCGACCCAATCTGAGGCGAGCCAGCCCCATCTAGCTCTTTATGCGGATCAATGGCGGGCCAGCGCTCAGAGGGCCATGAAGAATTTCAATGAAGTTCTGCGCTCTCTTTTTTCGAGCTGCCGAGAGCTCATACTTTAGACAAAAGAGCACTTAAAAAGCAAGCTTCGGGTACAAGGGCGGAGGTGCACTGCTTTGACATGAATGACACTTAACAGAAAAAAAAAATCACTCTGCACAGCTGCTCCTTTTATCAGTCTTGCCTGCGTCAACAAGTAACACTGCGTCCAATAAAGAAAACTGACACATCTACGACTACGTACTCCAAGCTAGCAGCTGCACACATTAAAAAAAGGGGCGAGTACAACAGCTCATACAAACCCTACACATTTCAATATCAGCCTACTCAGCTATTCATGGAAGACGCTTGTCTCATCCAGTGCGGTTTCAGATCAGGAGAACATTGATTAAAATGAGAAATCGCAAACAATATGTTTAATAAATCAGCAGACAAAAGAGACTGATTCGTATCGGTCCCCACATTCTTCTTGGAGGTCCTTTTGCTCCTGGTTCTAATTAAAGACATCAGCTCAAGGCTGTCACAGACACAAATAAAAGTCATGAATATGCATTGTGTGCATTGCTGGTGTAAACATGAATACCCAAACAGAACCAGAGAGGGAGACGGTGCAAGCATGCTTGGACATAAAGAGCAGAGCAGCATGCTGATTCCGATTTTGACGCATTGTTTTATTTACACTCTTGTCACATCAGTAATCCAAACAGTAGCTTTCGGATTTGTGCTGCTCAGTTCAAAGCCAACATTTTGTGGGAGAGCAAAAATAAATAAATAAAATCTACAGGAAGCTCTATAGTCACAGAGCAATGTCAAATGCCCATTGCTACGAGGAATTTCACAACATCAAAATTTCAGTAGTTGATATCAATGCCAGGAAGTTTCACAATTCTCAATACCAGTTTTGATGCAATGAAAAACTGTTAGTAAAAAGTGTTTGTGTTTAGTGAAAAGTTACTAATAATAATTAACAAAGCTAAATAACAATAATAAAATATTAGTTATAAGTGCTAAAAAAAAAAATAATGATAATAAAATAAAATATTGGCATTGTCTCTACTTCATGGAAGGATAGTATATATTAATATATTAAGCTGTTTTTTTTTTTTTTTTGACAAATGCATTTTTTGGATGCATTTTTGGAAACAGCATACCTCAAGTAAGCAAGGTTTAGGTAAATCAAATGAGAGTTCAAGGTATATGTGACGGTAAGTTATCCTTGCTTTCTGGAATCCCACCCTGGTATCAATCTTTTTTTTTTTTTTTATTGTATTGGTTAGTATTGACTTGGAACTTAAGTACCATACTTTACCATCCCTGCTTTCTACAAAATATATCCAAATCTTGGTACCCCTTGGTAATCTTCAGAAACAAGCCAAATTGAAGAAAATTGCAGTTGTGTATGTAATTAACACATTTTCTTTCAATCATTTCCTCGGTTCGAGCCATCAGGCAGATACACTCGCTCACTCCCCCGACCATTAATCACTGCGTCATGTCTCCATTCACGGCCCTTTCCCCCTTCCATCGATCCAACATAAAGACTAATCCTTTCCTGTCCTGATGGTTTCATTAACACTAATGGGGCTATTTTATATTGTTTGCTTTGCTTGACGTGGGTTGTCTTAGGGATTCATTGTGATCAATGACAGAATTATTTCATTTTCTCTCTGACATCCTCTGCTGTGTATTTCTTGGGTGAAGCATGCATGATTTATATAATGATATAATAATCTAAGAGGTGTCCAGAGGAGCGATGAAATGTGTATCATCCAGAACATCACTGATAGGCTCAATATTTGGGTTTATAAGGCAGTGTATTTGTATACAAGGGCCCGGCTCAGATAATGATACAGGTGGGTGGATGTAATCTCTAGATCACAGTTAATAATTTTTTTGTTATTTGACTGGTGTCGAATATTGGTGTCAATAGTCTTGCACAAAGACTAGCTAGGATTGCTCCTTCATTTTATTACAGGATCACTGCAAGAAGTAAATCCCTACTTTAATTTAGTCTAAAATTGTATTATTAAATTGTTATTGAGGGTTGTTTTGTGTAACTTGTGTTAGCAGTGGAGAGAAGTGGCCCACTCAGCAAGCGAGCGAGTAAATAAACAAACAAAGAATTAAACACACAAATAAATAAATAAATAAATAAATATAATGCATTCTATTTTTTATAATTTATTATTATATATAAATTAGTATTTGCATATTGTATATATATATATATATATATATATATATATGTATATGTATATGTATGTGTGTGTGTGTGTGTGTGTGTCAAAGTAGTGCATTTCGGCAGAATGTGTGTCTTGTGGTTCCATTAGTAAGTCAATGCTAAGCCTTGTTGAAGAAGTTGATTTTGCACATTACTGTGAATTAATAGTGCTTGATAAATTAGTAATGTCGTTAGAAGCCAGTGCATATATCCCGCATCCATCTGAGAAATAAGACCTCAAGATTTGTAGCTAGGCATTAAGTGGCAATAGATGCCGCCTGCAACAAACCCATCAATCTCTCATCAGGAATAAACACAGTATTGAACCAAGTCAATGGCCATTAAAATGACTCAGTCTGCTTCCCTGGCTTTGATTGGCTGCCACAATAAACAGCACTTGATTTGGCTATATGTTCAGATTACAGACCTTAAATTGTAACCTGAGAGTTGCCAAGGTTAATTATATTGCTCAATGTTTGCTCAACTGGAAGACGTAATGGAGTTTACAGTAAGGCTTCATCTGAGTTTTAACTTCTTATTTCTCAGACTGACACAAATAAGACAATTGTAACATACTGACTTGCAGAGTACAGTTAATGTGGATAGGATAACTAGGATATTTATATATGGAATTAATGCTCGAGTTCATATTGAAACTCTGATTACAGACTTTGAAATCACAGTTTGAGATGTTCTGAAACTCTCAAGTAGGCATATGAGATTATTTTGAGATCACTTCTAAACACATGAGACTTACTGTAAGTGAAAATCTCTCCATTTAATCTTTCTGACATCTAGAATAAACAAGTGAAATATTAAATGGATAATTTGGGATTTTTATTTTCTGTTTGTTTATTCTTGAGCTGCACGGATACAGAACGAGGAACAAAAATTTGACCTTCTCAAACAAAAAAGTGAGGTCAAATATAGGTAAATAACTGGCCAGTGTCAACATAAGATATTCCTTTTATATAACAGCCTTTCTTCTTTATTAATTAAATATCGCCATATTTTTGAAAGACCTTCAAAACAACTTTCCAAAGTAGTCCACTAAATGATGTGGGCACAGTCTGTTTTGATGGCTTATTAAATGTTTGTTTTTTGGGTTATCCTGCCTCTTTTCTGTCTCCCACTCACTTAGAGAAATTAAAAGCTGTATGTGGGCAGATAAAACACATTGCACCATAATCGTCTGCTGCTCTCTCCTCAATAGGGAAAATGAGAGACACTTCATGGTCTATTCAAAGTGAATGGGATCCAATGAGGCAACAGGCAATAATTGGCATTTTCTGGCACAGTGATTTCAACAGCCAGGCTCAAGGACTTAAAAGCCATTAGTCCAGTCCAGTCTATTTTTCACTCCTTTCTACAGCAATACGTTAAAGCACATCCCTCTTTCAAGCCTCATTGCTGTAGATTACAGTGATTGCTGGGGTAATAGCCCCGTGGTAGAGCTCAGAAATAGGTTGGACTTCGTACCACACAGTACTCGAAGAGATATAGGTAATATCAGGACGCCCTTTCAATTTGACAACGGGTGATACATCTCTAAACAAGTGGAGTCGGTTATATAAACCCAATCAACCACAAACACACATGCTGTTTTAAACCTTTCAGTTTGAAAAGCAGATATGCTTTTCGAAGCCAACAACACTTTAAATAGAAAATGGACTTGCTGGCATTGAGTGCCCTGAGAGCACAAGGGTGCATGATGATTATGTCACAGAGAATTCTCTGGAGCGAACATGAATCATATCGATGGATGCTGTAAAAATCAATATGCTGCCACAGGTCATTCACTGGCAAAGATTCAAATGGCTGCTCCGTGGAGACTGAAAGCAGGAACTGGAAGCGAGATCACTTCTGAAGGTGTAAATTTAGCCACATAAAAAGCTATATTGAAATAAATTGAGGGATAAACGCACCGCGCTTGCTTCTGTAGAGAAATATGCTGAGATCAGCTTCTGACGCCATTAAATCCGTATCACCCATCAGCCATCAATTACCGTCTTGACTTGGAAAGGAAAACTGCACTAACAGCAATGAGAGCGCTTTTTAGGGGTCTCACGGTAAATTGCAAATCTCTCATAATTAGGAGTATTTTGCCTCCTGAGATCCGTTAAAGACATTCACACGGAGAGGTTGCGGAAATGAACTGTAAAGTACGCCACAATCACACATCTCCACCCCTGCTTTACATTTTCTGTAGTGACAAACCAAGCTTCTGCATTAGCTCCTTATGCAAATTCCTGGCTAATAGTCTGCTGATGTGTTTTAAAGGCCCTCGGTTTTGCTTGCTGTTGTAAAACAGTCAGTTTTCCCTGAAATACGTCCTGCTGAGTGTATTATTAAACTGCAAATCACCATTCCTCTGCATCGGTGGAACACATCTCAATCTTCTTGGCTCTGTGTGCTGTTTACTAAGTGCTACACCTAGAGCAGCGCGCCTGAGGACCAGCTGAACATATTATAGCAAAACCAGCAGACTGCCTCACCTCAATCAACAACCGTCTCACCTCAATCATCAGTAAGTCTCACTCCAACCGGCACAAAGTCTCACCCCAACTGGCAGAAAGTCTCACTCCAACCATTAGAAAGCCTCACACATCTGTTCCTCTTTCGTTTATTTTAGAAAGGTCATAGATATTTTCTTGCACTGATTCTTGCCTCACATTGAGCTTTTTTTACTGTCCTGAGAGACACAAGTCGTCAATATTTTCGCTTTGCAGAAGAAGGGGGGAAAGACTTTGAATTATGGAGGACATAAGAAGAAATGAATAAGAAAATAAATGGTTATTTTCATTGTTTTTCACACATCCATGAAAGTGAACAAAATCTTCAACTTAATTATCCCTTCTAGAGATCTCATATACAAATAGTATACAGTAAATTCAACTGATGTCCTTTGATATCGCAGAGGTTGCTAACAAACAGCCAGCGTTGCATCACCGCCAACACTAACTCCCTGTGGCATTCAAGGATTACTTTACAGTGTCACGAACTGACTAAAAAGCTACTTTAATTCAGGTGCTAAGTTAGTACTGCTTTGAAACTGACAAGGTACAATTTCCCTGGATTGTATCTACCCAGAAGCGTGTAAAAAACACATTTTTAAAGCAGTCACTGACGGTCTCGAGGCATTAACCCATCCCTGTTTTCCAGGTTACCCTCGCTATGCTGTGGTCGGTGATCACGGATCTGGCGAGCACCACCTTCGCATCCAAAGGGTGGAGCTGACGGATGATGCTGTGTTCGAGTGCCAGGCCATCCAGGCCGCCATGAGGTCTCGTCCAGCTCGACTCACTGTGCTAGGTTAGTTACAGCTGCATGTATACATGAAGATGGACAAAGAAGTCCTGCCGATGCCATTTGCATACATATGCCTTTCAGCAAAAGCTTATTTACTTTCTCAAAAGTCCCTGTTTAAAGAGAATGTATTTAATTTCTAATAATCTTGCATCCACAAATTAAAGACTGATCTTGAGTATGAGATCAGCGAAGAATAATGTACAGTATTAAAAATAGATTTTTCACTGACCAAACTCCCCTGCAGTGCCATAAGTTCTCAGTTTTAATTTCCTGCTGCAAATCCCACTGTCTTCATTATTAAACCAGAGAGGTCATTGAATCTTAATTAAGTTTTATTGGGTTATTATTCAGCTTTGCCGTTTCTGCGATATTGGGCAGCAACAGTGTTATCTGTGCCGAGGTTGTAATCAACCACCTGGTAGGTTTATCTGCTCTACAGACCGACCACCCACACCCAGCGAATTGTAACTCTCCTTTGCACCAGTGAGCACAACTGGGGTCAGGATTGGGGTGGCGTTATGGAAGTGGTGGGGTAAGAGACGAAGCACATGTGCTCGCCAACTGGAATGTGATTTGCTTTATTGATCTCCACTAATGAAAAGTGAAAATAATGACCTGCATGGGAGGATGTAGTGAGGGAAATTAGAGGAAGAAAGAAGACAAATTATGCGGTCTGAGTTTGCTCTCCCTTACAAATGACTTATTTGCTAATTACAAGCACCAAACAGTCACCTAAGTCCCACTACTACGAGTATCAGTAGCACCTCATGACCAGAACATCATTCAATACTAGCAGCTTCCAAATATTTGTGATTGGTGAAATGGCTGGTGGTAATGAATTAGAAGCAATGATGCACCGGCTGTTTTGTTTATCATGATTCTCTCATGCTGTGGTCATTATTAATTGGGCCTTAATTAGCACTGCTTTAGAACTGCCTCAATGGGCACTGATAATGCTAATTGTCCACCACAAACCCTAAACCAAGAACCTGAGGTTCGTCCCTGCTTAGTTTAATTTCCTGTCAAGTTGGTCACCAAGGGGCTAGAGGCTTTGTGATGTTTGTGGCTATTCATTGGTTAATTTAATGGGGCTAGACAAGGATCATATCATGCTTTATCATATTCTCTTGAGCTTTTGAGATAAAAACAAAGTAAAATTCCCTCCCCAGTGAAAAAGAAACTCAGATGCAAAAACAACTTATTCTAAACTTTCAAGACTTTTAGATGTCAGTCAAAGGAATATATTTGAACACATGAACAAGAACATTTAGATGTCAATAATGCCTGTCTCAGTGAGATAAAAAAAAAAATCAGTGGTTGAGGTAATACTTTTACTATCAAAAACAGAAGAAAAAATACAAAATAAAGATACAATTATTGTGTAGCACCTGCTGCTCTGCAGAAAGGGTGGCCAGATCTTCTAACCTGCACTTGTAATATATGCTAGCTCTGTAGCAGAGTGATCTCTGGGCTGTCTTTTACAATGTCAAGAAGCCTGGTCTGAGCTGAAGTGATGACAGGAATGGGAGTGTGACTCCCCGCCTCCCCAGTATTTCTTACCTGACAGCTGAAGTGGTCCCTGAGCCCCTCGCTTCATGACTCAGCCTTCCCTCGGATACGGACTGAAGGCTGAGGTTAGGGCAAGTGTACTCTCTACAGAGCTCAGCACAGTCCGGATCAGCCAATCCCGCTAAAGGCTTTGATATCTGATCAAGCACTTGAAAGTGGGGAAAACTGAATCCCAACTCTGTGAATTATCCTGAATACAAAATTCCTGAACCACTTATGGTTGCTTGCCTGAAAATCTTTGGGAAGAGGGAAAATCGAAATCATTTCCTTCATCAAAGAGAAACCTGCATCGTGTCCTCAGTGACACGAGATGGTAAAATCTGTATTTTTAACTCTACATTTGCAGAGCTCATGTTGGTTTTGGGATTGTGGTTGACCTCCGGAGGTCACCTTTTCTGAATTAGTTATGAAGAAAAAGCAATTATTTTAGCAGTTGCCCTGTGGGCTAATTATATACCCCTCAAGAAGATAGCCATCCTTGTCTTCTCACGTGTCCCCTCAACATTAATCTCAGCCTTGGAGAAAATGGACTGCAGAGTAATGGAGGGAGAGAGCTTGCATCTGGCCTTATGAAACAAACGAAAGGTTACTTACCGCTGCCATACTTTTAAAGATTTTGAATGCATTTATTTCTCACCTGGGTTTTCAGAACTTCTAGTTTTGAGTGTTTTTGTGAAGCCATTATCAATTTCTACCACTCTACAAAGCTCTTATACATTTGTCCTTCTAGCAATTTACTTTCTCCATCCCCACCCTTAAACTAAATTTTGCTCTTACTAATTGTCTTGTTAATGGTTCTCATTGCTCGTTCCCTACAAGTACAAAGTTAATATGTAAAGTAATAGCAAAGCATTCAGATAATCTTATAGTCTGTTATCTTATGAGTGCTGAAATTGCCCATTAGAAAATATTAGCTTTTCAAAGGATTAAATCCTTGGAAGATGCGAGAGCTAAATCTACCCGACTCATTTCTCATTCCCTTTTGCACAAATTAATAATTATGATTTCATAACTAATGGAAGATCAAGTGTCCTTGCGGGAAAAATAAATAGGTGAAGAACTTGGAATCTGTATTACTTCGCATTTGAAAATCTCAACATCTTAGCCTATGATTTGATAAACAGCTTCAAGGCATGGAGCTTATTAACTTTTAATTGCAAATCATGAGATGCAACTGCTCGACATCTTTTCAAAAAATGTCCTGCTTATAGTCTTATGAAGATAAACAAAGGTCATCAATTCCGATCCAGATTTAATTTCCACTCAAGTGTGATGCCCTGAGCACCATCACACTTCATTTTATCTATTTTTTCCACAAGAGAGGATGTTTTTAAAATCTACTAAATATGAGTCAAATGTGAACAAACACGCCAAACCTAGAAGTACATTTTTTCACTCCTCAGGAGAACAATAAACCATTCTTATAAACTTTGATTTGGAAACTTTGACCTGAATTGCAATTAAAAGTAAGTTAAGAAACAAGTTAACAACAACAAAAAAAAACCCTCGTTGAAAACCAATGAGACTTTTCACAACTCTTCTGAACCAACAGTCATTGGCAAACATTCCGAGCTTTCCAAATCCCATAAACCCAGAGCCTGTGTTTGTGCAAATGTTTGTTGAAAGATGATTCTTACTCAATCAAATATCAGAGACTAAATTGATTAAATAGCTGGTTTATGTACCATTATGGTTGAACTATTGCACATGTAACTGTGCACAAAAATCAAGCAGATGTTATTTAAACGGACGATTAGCTTTGCTGGGAGATCCACCCTGCTGGGCTGTGACCTCAGACACATCTGCAAACACACTCCTGTGACCTGAATGACAGACGTGAGTCTGTACAGATGTTCTGTTACTTACAAACGTCAAGCTGTCACTGCTTCTGTTATGTAATTCTCTTTGACATGTTGAGTAAGGACAAAGGGACACTTGGCTTTTCTCAATTCCTTTTTGCAATGAGTAGATCATACACCTAGCTTTGATCATCAGTTTTTACATGTTTTATGAAATTATTCAAATTATATTTCAATTATAATGTATGCATACTTCTATGATAAGAATGTTTTTAGCTTCTGAATTAAAATGTAATGTGATATTTTTTGGAAGACAAACAGTCAATATTAGGACACAACTGTACTGATAACATTGAAAAAAAAAAGATCAAAAAGGAATTAAACTGCTGAAAAGAAAACATTAGCTAGTTTAGAATAAGGTTTTATTATTATTTAGTCAAAAAAGCAGCTTTACTTAATATATTAAAAATATTTGTCAGTCAAATCAAAATCATGTGGTCTGATCAACACACAGAAACTGAAAATAACTAACTAACTAAATAAATAAATACATAACAAACAAACAAGAAGTGATATCAGTAACCCCTGCAGACCATATCTATAATCTTAAATATCAGATAATTTAAAGTTTTTATTAAAAGGCAAGCCCAAATATTTATGAATAATGTATGAATAAACAATATAATATAATATAATATAATATAATATATATTTTTTTCCCTTTTCTTCATCATGGACACTCTTGTACATCATTGATCCATATGCTTCTCTGCCTTATGGTGAAGTTCAATGACCCGTATGGATTTCCTAGTGATGCTTGTTGACCAAACAAATTGTTACTATCCTTGAAGGAACCACATCAGCCTATTCCAAAGTGCACCTTATGTTGGTGGGTCTTTTTACTGCTTCATTGTTATCTCCACACCATCATAAACATTTCAATAGCTTCCAACCACCACCTATTCACGATCTGACCCCACCACGCCTCTTCAGCTAGAGGAACCCAACCGTATCTCATAACTTCCTCTCTTTTCCACCCTATTGCGTAGTCAGAAGCCATAACAAACCTCTCAGAAAACAAAATGAGTCTGCTTGTAGTGGTCACGCCAAAACCCAGCCTACGCTCGCCGCCAGTGCCCCAACACCTCTATTTCTTTGATCACTTTGATGCTTATTTAAAGGTAAATCTTATTTTCTTTCCATCACCTTTAGTTTCCCAACCCCTGACTCCATTTTGATATAACTCGGGCAATCTGGCCGGGCATCACTCATGCATCGAGCCGTTGAAACCGTACACGTACAGCCCCTGCCAAATGGAGAGAAGCAAAAGAAATGGAGAGATCAGGAAATGGAGAGAGAATATGGATCAGTTTGTGTTTACCGCCAAATTCTGACTCCCTCAAAGCAACACATTAGTGACAGCGCTGTGAAGGGAGCTTTGATTTGGGCCAGTGAGCCACGTATGTCACTTGTCTCCATTCCTGGCATGTTTTCGATTGCACTTCCTCTTCTTTCTTTTTTTGTTGCTGATCTATCTATCACAGCCCGCAGCAGCCGCGTAAGCAGGTGACGGGAGCCATTGCTGAAACAGACGGGACTCATTGTTGTGCCAGACACGCCAGTGGAGGCAAAACACCACCTCACCCATTAGTTTCCCAACAGATTGCCACCCCCCCCCCCCATCCCAGAAGCCCATGCTCTTCTAGTCGTGCGCTGGATTACAGGCCATATCACCTCACTCTTCCACAATCTTGTTTATGATGTCAATAACTCAACATATGAAGCCACTGCCATAGAAGCCCACTGTAATTGAAGTGAGATTTCCACCTCTGCAATTACTATAGCATCAAACCCATTCTGGAGAATAAAGACATCTCTCTCACATCCTTCCTTTTAGCTCCTGGAACTGAAACATCCCCCATCCAGTTGATTTTAAAAGCTTGTTGCTGGAATTCAAGGTCCCCATTTGATTGAGCCAATGTTTCAGTCCATTTGGTTAATTGCAAATCCATTTGCCTGCATGCAATTTATTGTTTTCTTCAGTCACACGCTACAAGTTAAGAGTCTTGTCACCTTGAGCCAGGTCTTGTGAGATCTGGCCTTGTCTCTGGCTACAGATTTTTTAATTATTTAATAAAGGTTTTTGAAACCACGCCAGACCCAGAAGACCTTAGATATTGTACAAATACATTCACAGTGAAATTGCTCTTCTGTTCAGTGATATTTTAGCTCTTTAATGAACTCTGACTTCACGTCATGACATTGTGGAAAAAAAAAAATCTATGCAGAAAGCATTCTGTACAAACCCTATACAGACGTATTACAAAGTGCATATGCCACATTAGCAGTTTGACATGATATGTGTTTGTTTCTCACACTGTAAGACTTTAGAAGACCAAGCACATCAGATTTACTGGTTTTACGGTACTTTCTTGTTGCTTTTTTGTCATTTTTGCAGCTGAAGAGCATCCAACTTCGGTCACCAAGGAAAGTCTGTAAAATTACTCCATTTGTACTGTTTCAAGGAAAGTTAGTTGGGTTTTGGAATGAAATCATGGTGAATAAATGAAGTAGAATTCATTCAGACAAGCAACTGAGAGAGCGCTAAAAGACAATATGTGAGGACATGCGGGATATAAAGACAGAATTATGGATTAAGCTTTTCCCAGCCAAGTGGAAGGTGGAAGAATTGCAGCCCACTGGCCAGTAATTAAAAAGGAACAATCAATCCGCGCTGCTGACCGACTCATGAGAAATCTATTGAGTGACTGTGGTAAAGCGCTAATTTGGAGCCATTAGGGGATGCAGAGTTTGCAAACAGGCCGGTAATGATGATGGCTTGCATGGCTACAGGGTTGCCCTTTGTACCGCTGTCAGACTAAGAGTGTCTGGGAGAGCTGAAATTAGATAGGGAATGTCTGACAAAACCTCAACGCCACAGCCCGAAATAACAGCTCCTTCCTTTAATGATCAGTGCCATTTGTAGTGCATGGGCTCAGCCATCAGTAGTGAGAGGTCTATGGCAGATGAACAGTGTACAGCTGTGGATCGCTGAAGTCTGCGACGAGAAATACAGGCTCATCGACCTGCCTTGGATCCCAAAGCTGTCTTTTAGATGTGTAATGGTTTTGGTTCCATATTAGGAGCTCAAATAAGCCCTTTTGAGATGGACAATCCTTCTTTTAGTAATTGGGTGAGACTAAATTCATAACAAAATCTAGCAAAAAAGAAGCCTTCGATATTCCCTATCATGTTTTCTACTAAAAGCAGTTAATTGGAGCTGTGATTTAGCTGATATAATAAAAAAAATAGAAGCATTTCTTCATCGTTGCCCTGCTCTGCTATGAACAGCCACACTGAGAAAGTTACTAATAAAAAAGTCACTTAATCTGAATGCCCTTATATACATTAAAATAAAAAAGTCTGTCCTACCAAGGACATCTACCTCAGAAATTGCATTCATTTTGTTGAAAGTGGAACTGGCTGCATTTAAAATGGCCTATCATGGAAAAATTAATAACCATCCACACGGGTCAAGAAAGAGTCAAGACTGCCTGTAAAAAGCCTGCAGTGGAGCAAACTTACAGTGCATTTATATCAATTTAGAGATCTACTGTATACTTACAAGGCTGAAAGGGAACGTCTCAGGTTACTTGTGTAACCATGGTTCCCTGAGTAGGGAACGAGACACTGCGTCCTCTCAGGGGTCGCTATGGGGAATGCCTCATCATGACCAGTGTCTGAAGCATACATTCAAAAAACACCAACAACATGTTGGCCGGCGATAGCCCATGACGTCACTACCGGTGCGACTATGCTGTCGCCGGCCAACGAGTTGGTGTTTTTTCAATGTATGCTTCAGACACGGGTCACGACGAGGCGTTCCCCATAGCGACCCCTAGAGGACGCAGTTCGAAGTTCCCATGAAAGGGAACTGCCAATTACCGCTTTAATAGGCAAAACAGAAGCTCAGGCAAGAAACCAATTACGTAAAAGTTCACAGGGAAAATGAATCACTGTTATCAGTCTTCGTTTTATTGTTTGTCATTTTGGTTTTTGAGGAGGATGTGAGGAGGTGGTGGATGAATGGACATCGTCATCGGCATGTTTTATTAATGCAACCAGGGGTGTCGTAACAGGGGGGAAGGTTAGGACGATTCCAAGGGCCCGGCGAGGGAGATTCTTATCATAGAAACCATAGCGGAGCCCCTGAATGCAACTAGAGCTCTCAGCAACATTACATATTATTGTATTTGATTTTTGGGATATTGCATTAAAAAAATGCTGGATAGAAAGAAAGAAAGGCACTCACTTGAGTACATCTATGCAGATTTATGTAGTTAATGTGCATGTCACTTGATTTAAAACACATTAGCTACAATGGAAACACTTTATAAATCCCTAAATAAGCATTGAGAAAAATCATGTGACTAGTTTTTCATCGTGTGAATCGTTTTCTAAAAAGAAAACATGTTACTCTTGTCATTCTGAAATGCCAAAGTCTGTCACAAAAAAGTAGCTAATATATTACTTTTCGTAAAGAGCTCCCACGGCTTCCCCAGTCACTACTTGCAACTTGCATTTCTGGATTGCACCAATTTTCTAATAAGGGACAATTTTGTTATCTTTAGCACATGGGATAGAGAGATTTGTTTTATGTTTGATATACTATAATATTTTCATTTTTGGCCTAACATATACAGTTGTGGCCATTAAGAATGCGCATTTTTTCACCTGCAGCATGCAATTCGCCACACGTGATCACGGAGCTCCCTGTAGGCGCTTTTTCAGATTTTTTAAAAACATTGTTGCACTTCACACAATATCCACCAGGCGGTGCAAGGATTTCAATTTCAATTTCAAACAACGATTTGAGTGATGCAAAAGTGGTCATTCATGCATATTTGCATGACGTTTTATATTTTGTTTTCGATTTGACGGTTTAATTCCACATTTCAAGCTGCCTAATATACAAAACTAGCTATATGAATGATGTTCTATTATTATGACCAAAAACAACTATTTAAGTTCTTATTCTATTATAAGAAAATAATCCAAGTGAACATGCCTTCGCGCTCGTCCAAGGCTAATTTATCATGTCATTGTAAGTTGAATAGAAACCTTGCTTTTGTGGCTCAGAGGTGCCAGACCTAGAAGACTCTAACCTTGAACCCAACTCACCCACTGACTGTATCAGAGAACTGAGACTTGCTCAGGAACTGTAAGCTACAATGCCTAGTCAATACTGTTAGTCATGACCAAAGTCTTAGCTAAGAGGAATATCACATACAGTTGATGTTTTACAGTATTACCAGGATTGCACTGAAGTCACGTCATACAACCTGACCATCAACAATCGCACAAAACTGCACAGCGTACATGTGGCTTTTTTGTCTTTCCAGACTTGTTCTCTAATTCCAGATCTTTAAAATTTCATCTTTGGGAATAATTTATATTGTTTGTGTGCAGAGCTGAACGTACTCATTGAATACTTTTAACAGTATAAGCAAAGATTGAACAGCTTTCCTTTTTTCAGGCTAATTAAAGACCTCAGTGACATGCAATTCTGAACAACCCCTTGACTGTAGTTATCTTTCTCTTTGCCGTGACCTCCCCTCATTGTGTCCTTTTCTCTTTCTTTCACTCTCAACTTCTCTCCACCGGCTGCTTACTAACTTTGATTTTCCCTTGCCCCAGATCTGTTCGGTAATGAGCATGTAGGGCGATCAATAATTCACTGGAGTTTGAATAAAACGCAGGATGCTCAGGTTTGGGTGTGTTTTAAACAGAGAGAGTAATCAGTGCCATTCATGAACTTGTTTTTTTTTCTGCTGGTCTTTAACGGCCCTCACACAATGTCTCCTGGCTGCTTTTAGATTGACTCTACACCCCCTCGGTCCTCACTCGCGTTATTACGCCCATTTCACAAGCACATTCGACTGCTCCTTGCTCTGAGTCACACTGCGTTGATGGCTTCCACATACATACAAATCACACCTGCTCTCTTTAAATGCAGATAAAATGAAACCACTCTACCTCATTCCTTGATGCTCGGCCCACGCCGTTCAGATCAGAATACCGCCACGTGCTAGAAAGTTGTTTTCCAGTAGCAACATTTCTCTCTCCGTTAAGATGATATGAAATGATCTAAAATAAGATGTGCAGGCACTGACAGTGACTCGCTAACCTTTGGATGTTGTGTAAATGTTTCCCAGAGGAAAATCTTGTAGCTCAGAAGTTCATACTGTAGCACGAGTTCATATTGAAATCCAGAATTTGGAATCTTGTCAGATCTCCCAACATTATTTTCCTTTTCCGTCTTGTGTAGTTCCACCTGATGACCCCGTTATCATCGGAGGGCCTGTGGTGAGCCTAAGAGCGGGCGACCACCTCAATCTGACGTGTCATGCAGACAATGCCAAACCTGCAGCCTCGATCATCTGGATCCGAAACGGAGAGGTGCTGAATGGAGCCACGTACTCTAAGGTAAGTTTTGAGGAATTGAAGTTGCTATTTATTAGGGTCTCACTAGCCACTTCAACATATAAATGTGACAATATGTATTTTATTAGCTCCTAAAATGTGTAAGTATACTGTATATGCAGTATCATACACACCCATTATTATAGGGGTTAATATAATTTATGGTGAATGTGATTTCAGCAAGTACCACATGTTCCTGGAACAAAATTCTAATCAACCAATCAGAATTGAGGGTTATGTTTACAGGAAATGTCAGTTCTAGGCTGACAACCAGGGTTAGGTTCTACACCCTTGCTATTCAGCTATCATTTCCCTCTGATTTTAACCCTCTGGTATTGTTCATTTGAGAGCACTTGTGTTGTTCGCATAACAACACATAATCATGGCCATAATCATGTACTAATTTTATTTTTGTGAAATCAATATACTATATTTAATTTCAATAATGTTTTTTATTCAATATTTATCATTTTGAGTGTATTTCATGTTACTAATTAATATTCATATTTAAATTATGAACGTTTTTTTCATAAAATGTAAACATATAAAAAATAATTGTATATAATTTTTCAAATAATGCAGTAAGTATATATATGTTTGTATGTGTTTATATGTGATCCAGCCCAAATCCATTTGTCATAATTATATTTAAATGCAATCAAAACTCATATTTCATCTCTGCTTCCCATTGTGATCTTCTACTGGGGTCAGTCTGAGGTAGAAAGCAGCAGCCGTGTAATCAACACAGCCGTATAAATACACAGTGCTTGCAAGATCCTCTCAGCTAACACTAATGCTACTCCTCCCTCCACCTGATCTGATTATTGGCTGTTTCTAAAGAGCAGATAAACACCATTGATTTAGCTGGTGTAACTGTGGGCAGTTGAGCTTTCTAATATCTCTATTCATGCTATTAAAAAGCAATGCAGTCAATTAAGCCAGAATCACTTGGTCTGAATAATGGAGAATGGGACAAGCATAATCTCTCTCACACTCCTCCTTCATCAGGCTCATAATCGGGACAAATGAAGGCCAATGTCTGTATGAAGTATGCAGTGAATATGTCTTTCTGTTGGGCTGGCATTTCTGGAGATGCTTAATGATTCAAATGACTAATGTGTCATCCTTACATTGCTGAGGTGTGGATTTTTCTATTGGCCTCTGAATGTCTTTACCTGATGAGCTGCCGTAAAACACTGATGGTGCTGTAGATGTGATGATAAGACACAACAAAGGCAAAGCAGCATATGGATGGGATGGAGGGAATTCAGAACAGGTCAGCGATTTGATGTTGTTGCCAAGTGCGTGAATTCAGAGGTCAGCTTTTTAAAATGACTTTTTATAGTTCGTTTTAAGTTGTGGCTCATTTTGCAGAGTCCAAATTTTGTCACCACTAACATAGCTAACCAAAACAATCACCTATTTTAAAGACAAAATTACTTATTTTATTAATTAATATTTCAATTTTAAAATCTTACATCAACAAAACAAAGTGAGTTGTATTATTATTATCATTATTATTATTGTGATTCTATGGAAAGTGTTTTGCAACATAGCTCAATAGTTACTTCCTCAGGTACAAACTTTATAAATATACACTTGCACCTAACTTATCTAACCTTTGTTAGATACTAAAATTCAGTATCAAATGACAGGATATATAGACAGACAGACAGACAGACAGATAGATAGATAGATAGATAGATAGATAGATAGATAGATAGATAGATACCCTTACCAAAAAGTAGTATACTTCAAGTTTATTTTATTAAGTTTACTTAAGTAAAGTTCAAGTATATTTTAAGTATACTTTATGTAGTAAGTATGCAAATATCAGTGTACTAGTAGTATACTTGTAAGTGTACTATTTCAATACCGATACTGTTATTTTTGGTACTTGCCGATACTGAGTACCGATACCAATATTTTCATTGCATTTGTACATTTTTAAAATATTGGGTACAGAAACCAAAAGAGTATGTATAATGTTAGTTGGTTAACTTAATTTATCAAATAGATACAGTCAAACCAAAATTTATTCAGACACCTTCAAAATTTCTCACATTATCACAGTTTATTCGTTATAGTTTAGAAAATTATAATACAATATGACAAGAACTCAGAGTTAAATTGTGTCAGAACAAATTCAGCTTGATAATGTCATATAACTTTGATAGAAAAGTATGTAATGGATTACAATAAAGCAAAAATTATTCATACAGCTGTCAATATGCTTACCAGCTGGCGCAAATCAGCTATACAGGCATTAATACAGAATGTTTTATATTCATTGCATACATATACTTCGTAGACATCTTTAATCTCTAATAACTCCATTCTGCTGTCTGTTGTCGGTGTTTCTTTGTCTGAATATGGCACTTATCACATGCTGTGTGGTATCGGCGTTTGGTATCGGGGCATTTTAACGAGTACGAGTACGAGTACAGGAGCTCAGTATTGGTGCATCCCTACTTTTAAGTATACTTTAAGTATAACAGTAGTAAATGCTGAGTACACAACTAGTTTACATCTATGTTTTTAGTTTGTACTGCAACTATACTAAAAGTGAACATAGGGATACTGATAGTTTACTAATTAAGTACTTGTAGCATTGTCAGTACACTTTGAAGTATATTTTCAGTAAACTACTAGTTTAGTAGTTATGAGTATACTCGTAAGTTTTCTTTAAGTGAACTTTACATCATACTTTAAGTATACTACTATGTCCCTATTTAGGTATTATTTTGTCTATATTTTGTTAAATGACTATCTGAACATACAAAACATCAAAAGAACAAGGTATCTGCTTGTAAACAAAAACATTGTATTCTAGCTTCATGCATTCTTTTTTTAAACACTTGAATGTGGGTAAGTTTTATAAATAAAACATTTAAAAAATAAAGAAATAAACAAGATTTTGAACAAAAAGCTGGAAAAAGACTATTAATTTGGTTTAGAATGATAATCAAAACGTAGATGGAGTCGATAAACACCCCAAAGCTTGACAATCATTATTAGCTCTTCATCGGTCGACATTTTATTCCATAACATTACACAGTTTTGATGCTGTTTTATGTCTGATGATCATGTTAGAATACATGTGGAAGCATCGGTTGTTTCGGTTTCTTCTTCATTTGTGTTTTTTTGGAAATTCTGTACAGAAGATGTGTAATAGCGCCCCCTACCAGATAACAATGAAAACACGGATTCTCGGAGCACAAGTATAACTCAAATATATTTTGACTATAAGTCAAGTATAAGTCAAGTATACTTAAATGTCATTTTAAGTATATTTCTAAGGAGTACATAAAGCCCATGTCTGAGAAGTACATAAAATTAGACTGAAAGTATACTTTCCTATTTTTAGTTGAAAAGAAGTATACTAATAGCACACTTGAATAAACGTCTTTTTTGTAAGGATAGATAGATAGATAGATATGTAGCCCTCTCTCTCTCTGCGTGCTAACAGGCCTCTAGCACCGCCGCTGCTACTCTGCGCTGTGTTGTGTGTTCGTGGGTGGTGGTAGAGAGGAGACACGGACAAAGATTAGATAGAACTTCTCAAAACTTTGCCTTTCGCTCCTCATCTGTCTCTCAAATTTAATTTTACCCCCAAGAATTCATCCCTGCTTAAATTTCTGTATAATTAGTGCAGGCTTTTAAATAGTAATGCCCACCGTGAGAGAATATTTAAATATTTCAGATAGAGTTCTAATTAACTTTAGTATCAAACTGAAAGTGCGCGGCAAATTGTTTCATGCTGCCAAAGCAGGTAGCATGCGGCGCAGCTCCGCAGACACAAGAGCTTGACTGTCGCCTTCACGCTTTCTCTTTGCCAAATTTAGCCTCTTCTGTTGATGCTTGAAACATCAGTCTGCCTCCACCCCTTCACTTCTACCCCCTCCCCTCAGCACCCCCCTCTTAATTAACCTTCTTGCGGTTTTGCCACTGAAATTAAAAGTGGGAGAGGAGAGAAGTAAAAAGGCATCTAATTAATTGCACCATAAAATGGTGGGAATTAATCAGAACTGGAGGTGCAGGATTAAATGAGTTAATCAAAGAATGGCTTTTAACCCCAGGAACAAAGACAGAACTTTACACTCCTTTTGAGGGAGATGGGAAAACAAAGCCGCAGAACACTTATCTCTCTTATAGGGAAATTAATACGTGGTAATAGGCGGCGAAACGTGTGGCCGTGCCGGTCCTCAATTATTACGGCTGATTCGAAACACCTTCCAGCGACGGCCCGCGTTTAAAAACGTGTTAAGGGACTTTGCGATGGCATGCTAATGTTGCCTAAATTATTAGTATCAGTGCGCCTTGAGGTCTAATCAGCAAATCGCTGCCGCTCCCCCCCACCACCCACCGGACGTCAACCTTAATTCCACACATTTTTTGTCTGCACACTTCAAAAGGATGTTTACTGACATTTGCTAACCTTTAAACCCAGTAAACGGCTAGATGAGGCCAACGCAGACACTTTATTTTCAGATTCTGACATTTGACAAGGGACAGGCCCATTTGACATGCACATACAGCTGAGGCATTGTGCCTTAAAACACACGTCTAGTTTTGACATTTCTAATTCTGTCTCGGGCCTCATTCTTAAGCTGTATTCTCCACTCCTGATTCCCAGCCTTCACTTCCTGTAGAGAGAGTTGACACGCTCCAGGCTGCACCACCAGAAATTATCTATTTGTAATTTGGAGCTATTTTTGGCCCGGTCCTGGTTAAGTGTTGAGTCCTTGGCTGTTTCAGGCCCCATTCAAGATTAATGACTTCAGACAGGCCCTGAGCAATGAGGGAAACAATCTGGACTGTGTCAGGCAGGATATTGCATTGACACATCCTGTGGCTGACAGCTTGTGTCTTTCAGCTGGTGAGGTGAGCACCTAGTCTGCGGAGCAACAGCCGTCACGCTCGCTGCTCCACTCTCTGACAAACACAATATGCAGTACAGTATGGAATGGCCTACATTTGGTGAAACCCTTTCAGTAGATTCGCAGTGGCAATTCGATGTATTCAGTCTACCTGGTATTTTTCTTTCTTTCCATATTCTAACATAAGTATTAATGCAAACATAGACTCATTAAAAAATATGCCTCTGCCTACATTTTTGCAAAACTCTAAACTCAAAATTCACTGCAGTAAAACGACAGCATTTTTTATTCCCTTCCACACAAGTCATGATTGCAGGGGCAGATTCTTGATTAATAAAGGCATATGTTTGTGAGGTATCTTGCACTTCAAAACACTTTTAACATGACTGATTTGTAAACCAACACATTTTGATGTTTGCATCACATAACCAGCTGTGTAAGTCTGGCTTTTCTGACATAGTAAACTCGCTCGGTAGCGCACCCGGTACAGCATTGCACTTGTGATACGAAACACTCGGGTACAAGACCTGTGAAACACAAGTCATGATAAACGAGCTCAAAGACTTGTAGACGCAACTTAACATGGCATGGTTGCTTAAGAAAATGTGTTTTTATTTCACTCTTGGTTAGATTTAGTGTTGGTGGTACGTTTAAATGTGATTTTAGCACCACGATACATATAACAACCAAAATAATAAAAGGTTGACAGATTAACATTAATTTAAAATTGAATTTGCTTTTAGTACCACTCAATGGACATTTCATTTTGAAAGTGTTGCTAAACGTGTAAGAAGCAATGCAATATCATTCTGCAGAAATCTAGCCACAGGCACATTTTTTTTGCAATGAGCCTGATCATGTTACTTAATTTATCATTTAGAGCTTTATTTATTAAATGGGGGGGGGCGGGGGAGGGGCGGGTAGTAATATAGCAAGACTAATATTGAAATTAATAAGTATTAGTATGAATTGCATATACTAGTACAACCTATATTGCAGACTCGTATTGTCTAGTGCGGACATCTCACTTTACTACAAATTGTGAAAACTAAGAATAAAACTAAAAGTGACTAGCCTACTTAATATAAGTTTGCAAAGAAATAACAAGTTAAAATAACAAACAGTAAAGCCCACTTTAATAGCCAAAATAGACAAAGCAGACAACAAAAGCTTAAATAGTCTCCTAGTTAGCTAGCATAAAACAGGGCAAGACCTTCATTCATCATCATAAACTTGCATGTGACACGCAAGCAATGTAACACAGACTGACACAGGAAAACACTTCCTTTTTTGTAAACCTCACAATGATAAAATACTCAATGCTCACAAATAGCAAATGTGCTCAAGGAGAAACACTAATAAGCCAACACAAGCTATTCAAATGTTAAACAATCCTCCCGATCACATATACACATAAAAAATAGCCCTATAGCATGAACAAATACATTTCAATGGGATGTACAGTAGATGACTTTCTTGATATAATGTTAAGCTATTAAACAATCTTACTTATTTGACTACCCGAAAAGCCTCTTTTTCAGTTTTTCAGTTTTTCAGTTTCAGAAAGGTGAGAAATGTGGCTTTGCTGGAAGGGTTTCTTTATCAAGGACTCTGTGGCACCCATAATAACACATTCTTAATATGCTTTAAATATATGCCTCTCTCTTTTTCTCCTCCTCTCTTCTGTCTCACACTCTTACTTTCCTTTTCTTTTTTCTCTCTGTTGGTGGGATGGTGAGTGTGAGGTTTCATTACTATATTTCAGATCGGTGGCAAAAAAAAATAAGAAAAAAAAAATGAGTAAGTAATTACTACTATTAGCGAGCTCCCTATCACTGGCCTATGCAGTGACGTGACTAATTATTAGCGAGTGACTATTATGGCTCAAAAGTACATTATTCTTCTAGATTCTTTGGGGGAGCTGATTACTTTAATACATAGTCTTATAGAGACACAGATGGGGTCTTGACTGGCCACCCACGCAAGTCAACGCTTCTGGCATTAAAAGGCCACGGGCTGCTGTGGGGGTTTGGCTGAAGCGACATTTTATTGGAACACTTTCACATGCTGGAAATTACACTTTCATAAGGGAACAGTGTACAAAGATAGATTTTGGTGGTAAAAACATAGCATATATATATAGTTTTCAAAAAGTAAATGGTGTTACCCACAAGCTTCAAATATATTTAGAATAATTGGAGAAAGCTTAGCATTACTGTCCAAAAAGACTAGAGATGGATTTTTAAATATATATTTTAATACATTTACAAATGCACAAAATATACAGTAGTGCATCTCTCCCATCATTCTGCAACACAAGCCAGGAAGAATGCTTGCTGGGAAGGCCAATTTATTCTGGTGGGTGACTGTTTTGTTGGCCATGCTGGTTAGCATCTCTCTTTCTCTCCGCCTCTCTATGAATCATTGCTGTGTGGCAGAGAGTGCATGTGGATTCTGTCGAGCGCTTCCAGATGGAGCTCTATGCTGGGCAGGCAAGGCCTAGCGCAGACTATGACCACTGGAAAAGAAGATTGATTTCCTCTATGGGGTACGACATGCCACGCACCAAAGCTTCACTCTCAAGCTGCACAAAGGAGCCCCAAAACATGCTGTTTTCTCCCAAAAACAATCGGTCCATGTGCAGAGAGACCATGAGCACAGAACCGACTGTTTGTCTCCATTTCCTGTGGGCAGCTGGGGAAAAAAGGACTTTTTTGGAATGCCAGCCTTGGGATTGATTTTAAATTATGTTGTTATGTGCTGTCTTTCACCCTCAACACCCATGACTGCAACTGAAAAAAATCACCAGTTTAGCTTTTCCTTTACTTTCCATATAGTAACATCCATAACCAGGGTATTTATTTATTTAAATAACTGTATTCTTTTTTTTAATTATTATTATAATACATTGTATGTGTAATTATTTCCTAAAATAAAATAATAAAATAATAAAATAAAAAATAAAATAAAATAATACGGCACAATTTAACTGTCGATAACCCTACTTTATTCTCTTCCTGTAGACTCTTCTTCGAGATGGCCGAAGGGAGAGCACTGTAAGCACCCTCTGCATTTCAGCCTCCAACATTGAAACCGGGCAGAAGATCATCTGCCGGGCGTCCAACAAGGCCGTGCCCAATGGGAAAGAGACCAGTGTCACTATTGACATTCAACGTAAGTGATGTCACTCTCAGATTGTTTCCTTTTTTTCATTTACTTTCACAAAGTCAGCATTTTTCTCTCTCTTTCGTTTTGGATCATGCTTGCTTTCCACTGAATTTAAACATCAAAATACATTGTGATACTAATCTAAGAGTACTTAGATTTTCAGTATTAATGGGAGCATTGTCTGCTGGATTGTCATAATTAATGTAGATTGCCAAATCCTCTTGCGATAAATAAAAATGTGCTGGTATTGTTAACAATTCAACATCGGCACAAAAAGTCACCACAATGTTTCTTCTAGTAACCCTTGAAAATGTAAACTCTAATCAGTTATCATGTTTTTTTCTTTAAATATTCAGTTAAAAAAAAAAAAAAAAATCACATTTACTTTCACATCTCACCCACTCATTCTAGTTCTTTCTGTCTGCCCGTTTAGAGGAAATCTCTTCTCATGAAATTTCAGAGAACAATACCGTTATACTTGCATTGCTCGAAGCCTCGAACCCTCATCAATAATGTTAACTATGACTAATAAAGCAGAACATGGTATTTAGAGACCCGTTACTAGTGACAGATCCGTTGTGCAACTTTATGCAGGCACTGTGGAGCAGAGCAGATATTAAAGATGATTAACATGTGTTAGTGTTGCACCAGCTTAAACGCTTGCTTGCATGTGTTTATCCAATGCAGCAGATAGGAGATATGGTATAGTAGTATTAGTAATAGTACTATTTCACATAAAAATAATACTGCAAGGATATGTATTTGTTTGTTTGTTTATTTATTTATTTATTTTTCACTTTGCAGTAATGGGAATTACATAATTACATGTCTGTGCATTACAGGATGGGTGTATTTATTAATTAATTAATTAATTCATTCATTCATTCATGCATATGTATTTATTTATCACAAATGCAAATGTTATATAGATAGATAGATAGATAGATAGATAGATAGCATTCATAGATAGAGAGACAGAGAGATAGATAAATAGACATTTAATGATAATGAAGCCTATTTTTAGGATATAATTTTCACATGATCTTCTTTTTTTCGTATTTAAGACTATATTGTATTATCACCAAGCAACAGAGTGTGAACACAGACAGGCGGAGATATACAAAACACAGCAAAACGTTCAGCTGTAAGAAATATTAGGACTAACTGTTGTATAAATTTATGACATTCCCTCCACTCATTTCTGTGTCTCCCACTCGCTCTACTCCAAATGCTCTGTATACGCGTAGAGACTGTACACTCCACTGCTGTCCAGATCTGCTCCCTATTCCACCGTCTGTGTTTTAATTAAACCACGCGAGAAATCAGACCTACTGTAATTGAACTCAGCCACAGAGCAGACAAATTTGCCAAGTCTCTGCGCTCTCTAATTTCATTACACCACTCTCACCACCTCTCCATGGAAAGATGGAAATATTTCAAATGTATCACAGAGACGAGCAGTCTTGTTGCAAAATTCTGCACGGCTGAAAGGAACATCCCTGGGAGAGAGGCAGGTGAATGTGAAACGGGAGCCGTGCAAAGGGGATAATGAGGTTTTTCAGAATTACATGCAGTCAGAGGCCCAGTCCGCTTTTGAATGACTAAATGAATACCCGTCTGAGTGGGATACATTTACATCACCCTCCTGAGCTGGAGCTCTGCAAAGCATGAGACATTAACTCAGAAGAAGGGAACAAATAGAGACGGTGAATGGTAAGCGATGACGACAAGCTCTCCCTCTGAGGATCAAATACTAGCAGGTGTTTAATGAATAAGTTATGGCGGTATCGGCAGGTGGGACGAAGCTAAGGATGCAAACCCGTTGCGAAAGGGTACGAGTGTTTCCACTGGCACATCCTCCAGGCCACAAGGGGGGCCGTGTAGCCATGCAAATCAGTTAATATTGATGAAGGACAGCTGTCTGCCGATGCACAAAACAGATGATTCAGGGTAAAGAGAATTGCGCACCTCACACACCACTGCAGCACGCAACCATTAAACTCACCGAGATCATGCCAGTGGAAATTATCTAAGCGTTTCATATGAATAAATGAAGCTGATGCATAATTACATAAAAAAGTGTGATCTCACAAGCATTCCCTCCACTGTTCAATTATGAGTATGTTTAAGGGTGAAGTGAACATGAACCACTAGTTCTATAATGACAGCTCTCTGAGAGTTTAGCATGGTAATGTGCATGGCAATGTTAATGTGTTTTGGCGGAATATCTGCTACGCTGCTGCTGCGGCAGAGCAAGTACCGAGACTTGCTACTGCCAATACATCCACAGACATTCTGCTGTGAGCATGTAGGAAATACTGCTGCTGCACATATGCATGAAATAACCCCCATATAAAGTATGGAATCGCCCCATAGCAGATCTATACAGGTGGAGCTGGGGAAGGTGGAGCGTTTCTAAAGCACACTGCAACTGCTACAGCAAGCTCTAGCTGAGTATTTGAATGTTGAGCAGCAGCTCTTTGGCTGCTGATGAGAAAAGAAAACAATCAGCTGTGGCATGTGAATAATGATGTGATTATATCAAATTGAGTTAGAACCTATCGGCCTGTCACTGCAACTGCTACAGCAAGCTCTAGCTGAGTATTTGAATGTTGAGATGAGAAAAGAAAACAATCAGCTGTGGCATGTGAATAATGATGTGATTATATCAAATTGAGTTAGAACCTATCGGCCTGTGCCATCTAGAGATTCATGACAGAATTTTGTATTTGTAAAGTATTATACAGACCTGGTTCTTCAAAAACCGTTAAAAGTGTTAGAATCAGGTTTAGAGGTGGTAGTCATAGTTGGTTGTAGGTTTACATTTCACTTAATATCAAATATTGTGTATGTATATTATAGTTGTTGGGCTGTATAGTCCAAAAAGTAGTGCCAGATGTTTGGGAAATGACACAGATTCCAAATTTCTATATGTGAATTAATTCCAGAAATGTTTTCAGTGATTTCAGTTCTCAAAAAGGGAGAAAAAAAGCACACTTTATAATAAACAGTGCAAAATAAAGTAAATTTTATTTTGATTAATAGTATGACTTTCAAAATACAAATATAATGTTTATGAAATTAAATTAAAGACCACTTAACTCTTTCCTCACCAGTTTTTTTTTTTTTTTCACTAATATTTTTTATAATTTTCACAAAATGTTCATGGCCACCAGAGCATTTTGTTGTATGAATATCTGAACAAGAAATATGTCAAAAATAAATAAATAGATGATAGATAGATAGATAGATAGATTGATTGATTGATTGATTGACCTCTACTAGCTCTTATGGCTCTTCTAGGAAAGTAAACAATTATAAATAAAGAATGTATTTGCCATACTCCCTGAAAATCACAATAAACAACATGTAGGCGAGGACAGCAGTGCCCAGACTTGGCCTTAGCAAGAGTAATGAGAATGAAAAAGAAAAATCAATAGGCTTTATTTTACTTTTTCTCTTTGTGTATGTGGTGTGCGTGCGTGTGTAGCAGGATCGATGTTGTGAGTGCAGTGCGGTGAACATGTTGCCATGTACCATGTACCCTACACAGGCTGAGACACAGAACAGACAGAGAATCGATGGCTGACCCCAGGTGAACGACAGATATTCTTTCCATCTGCCTGTTTAAGGGAGTGACAAAAGATTAAGATGAGAACCTTAAAGGAAGAAGGGAAGCAGGAAAAGACTAGAATATCGGACAGAGACTTTGATATATTACTTTAGCCAAATGACAGATACTTACTAAGACTGACAGCTCCACTGGATGAATAAGGAAAAAATTAAATAAAAAAAACAACCCATGAGGGATGTGTGTGCGTGCATTTCATCACATCCATCCTCTAATATGCCCACTCTAGCTATTGTCAGTCCTCGTTTAGAGTCCACTAATTGACCACTTGGTTCAATGTGATAATGTCATCGGCCACAAAAGTAATTAAAGGCTTTCTGGATTTTTCCTCAGCTCAGATAATTCTCATTCTGATCAGCACAGACCTCTGAGACAGCCGCTCGCTTTTGGTCAAAATGAGCCCTAAATGAGACGAGTCCAAATATTATCCACCGCATTACTTCTTTGCTTAAACTTGTCCAGTTCAATGCATTTCCCTGCCTGTATTTCCAGTAATCATTTAAACGCAGGAATTAGATTGACTTCAGAAATTTTGCTAAACATAAGCCCCGCTAGGATAATTTGACCTGAGGTTAAGCGAATTAGCATCTAAATCTGAAATTTACTGGGAAATCAAAGTGGGCATTTCTTTAAGTTCCTAAAGCTGAAGAAAAACCCAAACTTCCTATGGCATTGGCTTTAGTGGGGTCACATCACTCGACAGCAAAACCAGCTGCTCTCGCAAATCCGGTGTATTTTATTCCCCATGCACATTATGGAAAACAGATAGATAGAACACATTCACAGTATTTTCTGGAAAAAAATAAATAATGTGTAACCTAACCCCTGCACTTCACTGCATCTCTACTTCAGCTTAATTTTCGAAGTTTTCAAAGTTTTCCATCTTGATATTATTTTAACTTTATACCTTGAATGGAATTAGATGCACAGCTGGGCTATAATTAGATTAGTGAAGGAAATAACAAATTATATGCTTTAGCAATGCATTATTCATTTAGAGAGTTTGACAGACAGCTCCTCGGGGCAAAAACTGCAGACTGTTTAAATTCATTGCACAGAACTAAAGCGCTAGATCAAAAGCACTACATCAGTGTATCCCTTATGAAGTGAGACGAAAGCTAAGCTATAGTGTACTGCATAGTGTACTCAGTGATTGTACTTTTCCGTTCGGGGTACTGTAGTTTGCACTTATTTGGGTTTCCTACCATCACAAACAATCCGTCAACTTTTCATATAATTAGAGTTGCATTTCTACCTAAGGATGTTGATTTTTAGAAGGCAGCTGTCTAAAGTTGTGAACTAGAACATAGTTTGTGTAACATTATCAATATATTATTAGCTGTTTAATAATGTAGTCAAGCCAAAGGACAATGAT